ATATATGTGTGCAAATGTGCCTCTGCTTCCCTCTGGGTTGATGGATGGATGGAGGAGGTGAAAAGAGGAGTAGAGGGAGGGGAAACTCCACCTGGTCTTACCGTTCTCCGGGTGCTCCATCTCGCCAATGCTGCCGTCAGGTGTGGTCCGCTCGTAGTGGTCCTCCGGCAGAGCCAAAGGCCCGATCCGCGGCCCTGATGATGACTTGGAGCTGGGGGTCTCCGACTCCTCCAAGCCGCTGTCGTAATAGCTGTGCTGGGATGCGTCCTGCAGATCCTGCGCCTGATTGGCCGTAGAGAAGGTCACTCGACGGTGGGGCAGCTGTGATTGGATGACATAGGGAAAGCGACAGGGTTAGTTTCGTTTCTGAAACATTTAAGGTGAATCACTTCAAGTTAGTGTTGTTTATCCGTTTGATCTGATGCAGCTTAAATGATTAGAGACATCAAATAGAAGCTGGACTGTAAAAATAACCTTAAAACAGTCATTTGCTCTATTCTCACTTCAGGTTCTACTTTGATTCTGCACCTCACACTTGTCAACTTTCATCTCATCACATTTTAAATCTTTGAATCATCTCTTCTCAGCGATGTTATCTGCAAATGCTTTAGCGTTAAGCTAAACCGGCCTTTTAACAAAGAACAATTGATGAGATTAAAGTGTTTCCAGTTTATTGCACTCAGTAACGTCACATAAATTCAGCAGCCGTAGCCAATAAAGGTTTTAACAGATATGAACTTTTTCATATCTGTCTTTTCTGTTCTGTGCTGCTGTCGGCTGCTCCAGAAGAAAAAATGTGCTGGTCTGCACCGCAGCAAAGTTCTCAGTTTATTTTTTCTGACAACAATTCAAAAGAAAGTAATTCACTTTGATTATTGAAATAACAAACTAGCAAGTAATTTCTAGAATGTGCAATAAAATCACCGAATGTATTTCCACCACACAACACTCGGCCTAGACCGTGGATGTTGCTAAAAGGCTACGTTCACATCATTTCTCCACAAAAGCCAAAGTCAGAAGCAATTTCAGACAAGTGCTTTTCCAGTGAATAACTTTGAGATTCTCACAGACCGACTGCTATTAACCCAAACATCTCTGCTTTCACGCTTGGTGAAAATGTGTCCAGTTCTTTTTTGGCCATTGCAGTTAAGGTGGCAGTGCAGTGAATGAAACAAATAAACCGGCTCCTGGAGTCATCTACAGAAAAAGCAGATGGAATAGAGAGATGTACAGGAGCAGGGCACAAACCCGAGTCAACCTCTGAAGAAATATAAAATACTGAAAGAATCAGGATGCTACAAAGAGCTTATTAAAATATAGGCTGCAAGTATACAAGACTGATTATTTAAAATATGTGGGTTACGTTTCATTCCGCACATTATTAAACCTAAATAAAATAAATGGTTTCGTTTGCTTTGTTATGCATTTTCTACTCGCGCGTCCTCAAGTTTCCTTCCACTGACTGGCGTCTGTAATGAGACATCAGTATTAATAAAAGCAGCGGGCTGAACACACACTTAACTGCTCCATTTACTGTGTGTTTTCTGGGGGTGGAAGGTAACTGTCTGACTTGTGCGTTTGATGGTTTTGTAATTAAAATACAATTAGCCTCCCTATAGCGCTGTGGGGACGCTTGCCACCGCTCACACACAAACACACATTGTGCAAATACACCGAGTGCTGCCAAACAAACTGTCCTAATTCAAAAAGGCACACAATGCACGGTCAAACATTTCAATCACACGCATCTGACCAGCCAGGCTGATAAAAAGCAACATCCCTGGCTTGGCACATACTCTGTCACCATGGCAACTGGCCCCTATCAGGACCCTGAACCAGTAAAACCAGCAGATCCGTGCTCATCACGCAGAAACAGTTTTTTTAAAATCTTTATCTCTACTTTTTTAAGCAGCTTTTTTCCCCCTTGCAGATGCTGACAGGTTCACTGCCTTACTTTAGACTGACAAACTGTCCTCCCTTCCAGTTTCAAACCAGTAACCAAGCGGCGATCAGACTGCATCTTAATCCTGCCAATTGCACTTTTAATTTCCGTCTTAGTTGAGAGACTTTAGCTCACCAGCCACTTTCTCTGCTGTTTGAATTCTAAATAGCATGAGTGGCTCCACTACAAGGATTTGAAAATGTGTGTAATTGTTCAGCAGGCAGGTAAAAGCGGCTGAATTAATGTCAGAATGATGGAAAATGTTCAAAACTCAACCCGCAGTGGAGCTGTCCTTTAAACTGTGTGGCCACAGTGTGCTGTCAAGGCATCAAAAGCCCCAGATCCCCAGTGCTTCAGGCAACGGGCTCCTCTCCAGGTAAACACATTCAAATACTCAGTAATAACCGGACTCGCTGCAGATCTGTACAGTCACACTGGCTGTCTTTTTTCCGCAATATAATCCCTGAAATGGTGGAGCTCAGTGAGTCTGCTATTTGTAAAGCCAGATTCTACCTAAAAATGTCACCATATCCATTTTTGGTTTCTCTGCATCTTCTCAGTCTTATTCACCCTGCCACAAGGAAGACTTCCTATGAAATTATTTGATTTTTGGGTTTTTGTGATGGTGGCATGAACCCAGAGAATAAAAATAATCTTCTAACCTTATGTAGATGCCACTCTGACTTGAGTAATATAGACTTAAATAGGTCTTGTGAGGTTCTTTTACTCCTATCTGAATTACCAACCGTACCGACATCACTGACAAGACAAAACTTTTCTCTAACCCAGCAGTGCCCAACCCTCGGGCCACGGACCGGTACTGGTCCGCGAGTCGTTTTGTACCGGGCCACGAGAGTTGAGGCTCGGATGTGAAATTGATTGTTTCAGAGTTTTTATGGGTTTTTAGAGTAATTTTTTAATTGTTTTTATCGTTAACTCGGTTTCCCTTGGTCTTCTCCCTTGTGCTATGAATAAATCTTATTTTTTTGGTACCGGTATTGGTTTTATTTTGTTGTATTTATCCACTACACCTTAAAGGCCGTAAGCTGGTCGGACATAAACTGGTCCATGGTGCAAAAAAGGTTGGGGACCGCTGCTTTAACCTATCCCGTAGCCCACTTTGGGGGCTGAGCTACATTTCATTAGACTCCAAACACCCTAAAGATTATAACTGGGATGTGTTAGCTATAGAGTAAACTCTTAAAACAACAATAACGTCAGCAAAAGCACTGATGTAATTGATTTCAGCCGAGGATCGTGTATATACAGTAATGTCTTGAGCCACTCATCATGTCTTTATATTTTGCTTCCAAAGAGCCAAACTTTCATGGAAGTCTTCTAAAGTGGTCTTGAGCGGTAGTTCTCCAGGTTTTCTGTCAACCATTTTCAGTCCAATCCATTTTCAGAGGGATTACTTTCTTGTTTTTTTAACGTAACACTCACTGAACACTGAGCTGCAAATCACTCCAGTATAAAAAAGACAGCTAAGGGATGAACCAGTGCTGTGTCTAAGCAAAAACCTTTTGATGTAGAGGCCAAATCCAGGGTATTTACATGACTCAAAAGAACAGGAACAATTTCTGCACAAACAGCAACATTTTAGATCAGTGTGAAGAATATTTCAGATGAGCAAGTTACAGATAAATACACATCACCAATGTTTCATTCCTCTCTTTTAGTCGGGACTTACTTTACATGGAAATGAGTTTTGTGAAAAACACCTGTTACATCCTGGGACTTGCTGCCTGAAGTGTTGGAGAGACATCACAGTTTTGGAAAATGTTTTTGTGGACTCTGATATAAAGAATATGCGATCTGTTAGGCTGATAGAACTTATTATTTAATTTTTATTTCATAAGTGGTCTTCAGTCATTTTCTTCCCTGTCTCAGCTCCTACCTGAGACCCTGCGGCGTCAAACAGGCATGTCTGAAAAAGCTGCAGAACAAAGTCGGGCGTTTTATTACAACTGTTTTCGTCTGTTTGCTGTGTGAATCACATCTACGTGTAAACAGAGGAGAAATGAAGTGGATCAGATCCCTTTCTGCCCGTCACCTCCAGCACATTCGCTTTGTTCCCTTTTTTTGTCCTTTTTGTTTTTTCGCTTGTGTGCTTGTTTGTTTGCCGGAAATAGAAATGCCATCTCAGCAGGTCGCACCATGAGAAAGTGGAGCAGATCAGAGGGGAGGAATCTAAAGACCAACCAACATCCACATCAGCCTCTGCCACAACACCTGCCGCCATCTTGGACCTCCATCCCTTTTGTTTCTCCTGCTGCCCTATTTTCAGTCTACTCTTAACCCTGAGAGGCAGCGGGCCTCCACTGCAGACTGTTGGTGTTCAAAACACAGAATTACTGATTTCCAAGACTTATGAGTTTTTAGGGGAGATTAAGCTTTTTTTGCTGTTGTACAGCCGAACGAGCCACGCATAAAATAATATCCAAGGCAAGAAAGAAGTCTCAGAGGGAGCATCAGCATGGTGGACAACAAGCTCATGAATAATTTGAGCCAAACACACTGAATGAACATTTGCTACAAACAGACTGGACCCACAAAGACCTCAGACTGGCAGTCGAGAGTTAAAATCAATCATCACACTGATCTAGTCGAGAAATCCTCCAAGCTAAGCAAAATAATGCCTCCCAAATCTTCCTCATTAAAGTTACTGAGAGATGCTGGTCAAAACAGCCCGATGAATTATTTCAGATATATTTATTTACACACCAACAGCATAAAAATAGAAGCACTGATATCAGCAATGCTGATATCAATGGACATAAATGCGGGAATAGGGTCAGAGTCTGTCACATTTCTGTAAAACTTCCAACAGAAAGCCTGAAGTCTAATCTCAGACATCTTTAAGAAATTTTTAAGGCGTTTATTCTGTGATTTTGATGATGACACAAGCCACAGAAGTGATGAAAATTTTGACATGTTAGAGGTTTGCATGAACTGTGTATCAATGTGATTTAGCACCCTAACACGTTAACATAAGAATGACTGATTGAGTCCTGTGAGTAACTTTAAACATCTTCAGACAACTAAAAGATGCAGTCTGCATGAATGATGGTCACTATAACTCCCTTGTATATGCACTTTATCTCTGATGTATTATTATTACTTATATATTGTTGTTGGCACACAGGCCTCCACTAAATGCTGGCATTATTCTGTTTTTTTAATCCTGAAACATATATAAAGGACACGAGTGTGTTCCATGAATGCACTGCAGCAGCAATGAAGGTCAGGAATTAAGAATTCAAGGAAAGATAGCTCATCACAGCCTCTTTCCTCCACAGCAAACTGTTAATGCTGCACTTTGATGGAAGTTTCTAATAATTTGTCCACTGAAGACTATTTATTCAATCATCTGCAGGCA